TCGACCGTTATCTAACAATAAGAGTACGAGTACATTATATTTTTTTCTTCGAGAAAATTTTATCTCCGAGCCGTTTAAAGTCATTCCAAGTTTATCTACCCTTCAATGCGCATAGACGTCGAAAGAAAGAAAGAAAGAAAGAATAAGGTCAAAAGTAAAGCCTTCCATAAAGTAAGAGAAGATCCCCAAGACCTCCCTCTGAACAAGGCCTCCCAGAAGTGCTTAGAACTCAAACTCCTGAATGGTAACATTGGTTTCCCAGGACAGCGCCTCCCGGAGATGGAACCTATCCAGAACCTCTCCCTTACCGTGTAGAACTTCTGGTGGCTCTTGTAGAGGTCGTCCTTCATCAGGGTGCGAATCTCTCCGATGCTGACGGTGGGTGGTCGCGTCTCGTCGGGCCGCTCCTTCAGAGTAAAGTGCGTGCCGCCGTCGTAGTTCATGGTGCCCCGCAGGATGATGATGGCCAGAAGACCTGTCAAACAGTGGGCGGTTAGAGGTGAGGTAGGAAAGTGATGCTGAACAGTGGTACAGAAGCTAGCTTTGGGGACGATAAATGATGAAGTTAACCACGGTCAAGGATTTGGCTTTCCATATATGGCTCTCTATAAGAAAGAGCGGCGAACAAGAAAAATTTCAAAAATCGGACAACAATGACAGCATTTATGTAAACGACATCCTCACACAGCAATCCAAAAATAAAGAATTACAAAACAAACCACCTTATATCCTTCAGCGTGACGTCAATTATCTACCAACTATTAGACGGTTACACGGAAGCTACACAGCTGGCGTGGAGTGTAATCGCCACGCCGATTGTGGATTGCTCTTGATCGTCAATACATACATACATACAGCTGATCCCGTGAGCCCACCAATGCCCACCAATGCCCCCCTCCACCCCCCCCCCCCCAATGACGTACCGTTCTGGAGGAGCACCTTCTGGTCGGAGGGCGTCAGCTGCCGGAAGCGCGGCAGCTCGCCCACGAAGCTGACCATGCGGATGATGCTGTTGACGAAGATGGTCACCATCCGGTTGCCCTGCTCGTCCGGATTGTCGATGCCGTTTGGCAGCATCGGACACTTCTCATACCTGAGGGACGAAAGAATTAGAGTGCAATCAGTAGGGGAGAGTGGGGAAAGATGCCCAGGGTTTTACTATGTCATATATTATTCGAAAATGACGATCCGAAAGCAAAAACTTGGAGTTTCAACGGAAGCCGACATCATTTTTCTAAAAAAATATCACACTTTCGTGCCTGAAATATGATGGTTTTTTTTTTGCTATTAACAGGGACCCTCCCACCTTCAAAAAAGTTAATGAATTGGCATGAAAGTGATGTCGCTAGGTTCAGAAAGAGCAAAAACGAATATCTACCAAATTTCATCGAAAAATATTCACCAGTTTTCAAGATATTAGACTTTTACTTTTGTTTACTTTTTGGGATCTCCGCTGTTCCTAGCGACTTTATTTGAAAGTGCGGCATTTGTTGCGCGCAAAGCAGCATATACCACCGCGTGCTACAAAACGTTTTAGTCAAACATTTAACGGACGTTCGAAAGCCTGATGACGTCATCAGATTTAAGTGCCTATACCAATACATTGTGGCACTTATTTGCACAGATGTCAAAATCAAACTCAAATTTCTTTGCGATGAAGTAATTGCTGGAGAAACGGTTTTCACGGCACTGATTTTCAAAGAACGTCCATCAAGATGGCTATCTCAACTCAAATCTAATGTTAAGGTGGGACAGTCCCTTTAAGCATTTTCCTGAAGAAGTGAAAGGGGCATCTTACCCCACAGGGTGGGAAAGACGCCCCCTGGCGTTGGGGAAGATGCCCCCTGCACTATAAGTGACATAAATGGGCACGTGAATCACCTGAACGAATCAGTAGTCTCTTCGAGCCTGCAGTAGACACCAAACGTCATCGTAAGGGCCCTCAAAAGTAGTCGTAAGGGGCTTCAGAGGTCATCGTTAGGGCCATCATAGTCCAGCGCGGCCAAACAAGCCTCCGTGGTGGCGTTCGGAGACCACTGTGGGGCCCTTATAGGTCTTCATGATGCTTGAGGGCCCTCGAGCCCATCGTGGGGACCTCAGATGCCAGCGCGGCCCGTGGAGCCAACGTGGGAGCCCTCAAAGGATGTCGTGAGGGGCCCTGGAGCCAATATGGGGCCCACAGAGGCCGTCGTGAGGGCTCTCAGAGTCAGATGCCGCCCAAAAAGTCCCTGTGTGGGCCGAGAGACCACCTTTTCACAGCACCCGACCGTACTGGGCTCTCAATAGTCCCATATCGGCTTTTGTCTCTCATCACAAGTATGTAATAAATGATTTGACGGGCTACTTGAATGACAGCCTACGGATTTAGGGGGGCGTCTTTCCCCATCAGGACAGGGGGCATCTTACCCCAAGGTACCGAAGTAACATTAAATCAGTACAATTTGTTAGCCATAAAACTACACCCTGAAACAAACTGTTTGGGACACAGTACACGCATGTTTGTATCACGACTATAGCAAGGGACGCAAAAACTTTCTTCCTTCTTTGATATTTACAATGTTTTCACACCAAAATATTTTTTGAAAGCAGCAAATAAAAAACATGCAATCACCAGCCAGCCGTTGCCAAACTGAGCTTCGCAAATTTGTGTGCAGTTAACAAGGCAGGCTTCTGTTTTACGCTAAGAACATTAATTTCCAGGTTCGATTATTTGTTTCGCCGCTAGAGGGGGTGGGCGTCTTTCCCACCCTGGGCATCTTACCCCACTCTCCCCTAATAACGTTCCATGGGTTAAAGATAACGTACGTTTTTATTCAGCGATTTTTTGTAATGCTTCACCTTCAGAATTGCATCAGTGTCGATCTTTGTAGCTGCAAGTCTCTCCTGTTAACCATTCTGTCAATCAAATAAGCTGAGAACTCGACATTGATTGACAATGAACAGCTGACATTGACAGGGTAGATACCCCACCCATACACTTCACGTCATCCTGAGATCCTCAACGTTTCAACAGACGTCCACCTAACTTTGGAACCTCCCGCCACGCGCGCGGCCTGCGCCAGATTGTTTCCGGTGAGCTCTCTATTTTGGCGCGCTATTTTGGCGCGCTATTTTGGCGCGCTCAGTGTGCCCCGGGCGGCATGCACGTGGGCCATGCAAATCCCCGATAATCCCCCCTGGATTATGGGTAGCGACACCAGACGACAGGAAGATTGTGTTATGCAAATGGGCGCTGAGATCGAACAGGGCTCAGTCACCTGAGGGCTGGATTCCGGGGCTGATTTCCAATGTGCCGCACTGGTTTTAGTTCGAAAGGTAAGCTCAGCCATTATCGAAAAACTTGTATTGAAAGAACCAGACGCGGGGCAAGTTACAGAGGTAGCAGGAAATTTCGTGGCAGACAGCTGCGGGAGGCGAGGCTGCATCCCGGGGAGGCGGGGCAGGCGGCGGGGGAGGCGGGCCTCCTATCCCACAGCTGCGGGAGGCGGGTTCAGAGGCGGGGAGGAGTCGGCGGCGGCTGGCGAGCGGCCATCCGAATACCACAGCCCATCGTAACGTTACGAACTGCCATTAACACGGCCGTAAACGGTCCGAATGCTTCCAGGAGTTCGTCATCCGAGTGTGCTGGCGCCGCCCCTGCGCCTCATCTCACTTCCCGGCTGTTACTCTGCTCAGTCCCGCCGGATCCTGCCCCCACTTCCTTAGGTACTGTCCCCGTGTCCTTGGACTGTCCCGTCAGACCCTGCCCAGTCCCCACTTCCCTGTTCTTACTCTGCTCGGCCCCGCTCCCACTTCCCTGCACCGTCCCGCCGACCCTTCCCAGTTCGAACCTCCTTGCTGTCCCCGCACCAATGCGTCTGACCCTCACCTTAGATCCATCTCTCCGCGGCATCTCAGCTATTCCTGTGGTGTAACACCCGGCACTCACCCAATTTTTTCCACCCGTCCCGCCCAGGCCACCCAAAACATTGCTTCATCCAAAAGCTTACTGAAGTGCTGACTTCCATAGTACTGCGAAACAGGTGAATTTCAATTAACATACAAAAAAAAAAAAAAAAACAAAAAAAAAAACAAAACATTGTCTCTCACTTGCACAATCAATTATTTCCGTTACCGAGCGTTTGTGTTGAAGTCTAGGGCGTTTCCCAGACGAATTCTCCAGGTGTTAAAGGTAGTGTGCCAGCTTTCTTGGACCATATGGCGTTAAAGGGACCCTCCCACCTTAACATTAGATTTGAGTTGAGATAGCCAAAATGGGGTCCCTGGCTCACAATTACCGGTTTCGGTACTCACAACATCGAGAAATGCCTTAAATCGGAAATATTGAATTTCAAAATTGCAGCATTTTGATTCAGAGGGGCTAATGCTTAGGAATACCCCTCTGAATGTGTGACGTCAGCGCAGATATCTAACGATTTTTAAATGTTTGACTAAAACGTTTTGTAGCACGCGGTGGTATATGCTATTTGCGCGCAACATCTGCCGCAAACGCCGCACTTCTAAAATAAAGTCGCTAGAAACAGCGGAGATCCCAAAAAAGTAAACAAAAGTAAAAGTCTAATATCTTGAAAACCGGTGAATATTTTTCGGTGAAATTTTGGTAGATATTCGTTTTCGCTCTTTCTGAACCGAGTGACATCACTTTCATGCCAATTCATAAACTTTTTTGAAGGTGGGAGGGTCCCTTTAATGACCCGGATAAGGAGAATCGGATTTTTAGAACTTATCCATACCTTCAAAAGTCATGGAAACGTCTTAAATTCTTCAAATTTTGAGCACCCCAGTGCGAAATTCGCCCCGACGGGTTGTCGGTCGTACCCCAACCACATTTCACACCACTATGAACAATAAATGCACACACTGAAATCGCTATTACCGATAGGCTCAGCCAATCAAGTTTCGATAAACCCGTTCATCATCCTCTCCTGCGGTTTCGAACACGCCTGTTAGGTGGTGCGGTAGACCGCGCCCAAAGCCAGGGCCCCGGTAACGTGAGGTAGCCGAGTCGGGGCAGCGTGCGCTGACCCAAGCCGGGGCCGCGCGTCTTCCCGGTGTCATGTGATAGCCCGGGGATGCCTGGGGATGCGGTAGACCGCGCCCAAAGCCGCGACCCCGGCTTGGGTCAGGCACGTTGCCCCGACTCGGCTACCTCAACCTCACGTTACCGGGGCCCTGGCTTTGGGCGCGGTCTACCTTAGGTGGCTTCTGCTCATACTTTGTGGTGCGGTGGTGGTGCGTCGGGCCGCGCGCTCTGACTTCGGCCAAGAAAAATGCGTCAGCTGATCATTGTCATTTCTGCCACTTTCATGTGGTGAGATGGGGTCATAACTTTAGAGACGGCTGTTTCATATCAATTATTTTACATAAAATAATATTCTAAACCATAAATTAATGTTCGACAGTCAAATTAAAGAAACAATACCAATACAGGCTTACAGTTTAAATTCGACATTGTGTTGTCTACGATTAGACAGCTGATAACTCATTCCCGTACGTCGTAACTCTATAATGACCTTTGCTTATTGTCACATGTGCGCCGCATTCGCGATTGTTGCCGACGCCTGTTTGCAGGTCAGGCCACTACAGTTGTTATACATATCGAAAAACCGATAAACTTTTAGGCGAAAAAAAACACTATTTTAGGCCCATTTTTGATTTCTTTTGCGATATTAGGTAAAAACAGAAGGTTCTTATCCTAGGAAAAATAAAATGGGAAATCATTGGAAGGTGGCAGACTACCTTTAATATACAAAATAAAACATTGTGTCTAACTTGCACAATTAATTATTTCCGTTACCGAGCGTTTGTGTTGAAGTCTAGAGCGTTTCCCAGACGAATTTCCAATGTGTTAATTGAGCCTAAAACGGCTCGTGATACTGGATGTTATATAACGTCGCGCCCATTGCCCAGTTGTTTGACCTTATCCACCAAATCTCATCTTGCCTCGCTCGAAGTTAGACCGAAAGTTAAATGAACGTGATGTAGGGTAGGTGGATAATTTATTATTACGAGCTGGGCCTCGTTTCATAAAACTCTGCCGTAACTTACACCTTTCCGTAATTCACACCCTTTCAAACTACGGAGCGCAAATGAAGCGGTTTCACAAAGCCACAACTGGAATTGTTTACACTTCCGTAACTAAGCACATTTGCGTAGTTGCCGTAATTTATCAAACGTCCTACAAATTACAATTTCGTGTCAACACTTATTTTTTACGAGAAATTATAAAACAATTATGTAAAAATGAATTTTAATCTTAAAAAGTATTTATGAAAAAATAAAATTGATATTGATGACCATCCTTTATTAAATCAATATATTGAAAACAGCAGAAAGCCAGCTAAGCAGAAGTGCCTTACTACGAAAGTGGCGCGGCGCGGCGAATAAACAAAATTCCGATAGCTGTCAGAAAAGCGACTGGTACAGAAGATTTGCAGTTTCTTTTTCTCATTTTGGCTGTTCTTTCTTCCTCACCGGGCTCTACATTATAAAATATATTAAAAATTAGCTTCGAATCTTCACATTTATTCAAATTCACGCAACATTTTTGTGCGTAGTTTACACCACTGACATCAAGAGCTTGATAAAATATTTGGCGTTAATTACGTCGTTTTATGAAACCCAAATGGCATCAATTGGTACGGATTCGAGCATTTGCCGTAAATGAAGCTCCGTAATTTCGATGGCGTGAATTACTCCGGCCTCCGGCTTTATGAAACCGAATTGGCATCAAATACGCCAAATCTGGCATAATTGACGGAACGCCGTAAGTAATTCCTTTTATGAAACGAGGCCCTGGTTGCAGGTAGGCACAGAAAGAGCAGCATCCTATGACCAGATAAACCGTGGTGTTATGTACAAATAAACGCATGAATACCTAAATTTAATTAACATTTAATTAAGCTGCCTTGCCTAAGAAACGGTAAAAGATTGATTGGCGGTGTGCTAGTTTTCCGTTGACAACAAAGCTCGCTGTCCTTGAGGCTGCTGGCTTACCCATCGCCTCCCTCCTCTTCCCCTCTTGCCGGACGGAACCCGGACCGCTTCAGGGTCACATCATCGACCGGTGCTCGGTCAATGACCTCGACAGTCCCCCTCCGACCCCTCCGCTCCCCCTTCACTCAACGACTCTTTGTTCCGGCGCAACATAGCAGGAGAGTCGCCAGAAATTCTGCGCCGACGAAATTCACCGTGGAATAGAGGAAGACGTAACCGGTGTCGTCGAGAAAGGTTACAATTCAACAGTGCGCGGTGGTCGTTTCACCTTTCGCGACGGTGGTCATTTTGTCGTTTTGTTTGCGGGCGGATGATAAAAGTGAACGCCAGCCCACGCTGCCGGCACCGCAGTAAAGACGCAGAATTTAATGGCCCCTTCGAGCGAACCAAACGAGATGTCAGTTGCACGGCACATGCAAGGCAGCGGCCGAGCAATTATAGGACAGCATGCGGGCCCATAAAGAGCGCCGTAAAGGTGACATGTGCGCTCCGCCAACATGTGAGAGGCAGCACGACCCATCCCGAATTTGCGCGGCTTTGTATCGCCCCGGGCACCGACCGAGCCCACCGGGACAGTCTACCCGTCAGGCGGTGGTAGTAGCAACGACCGCCGCTAGAGGCGCTGGTGGCGAGGAAACAAAAGGCCTGCAGGTTTCTCAGTTCTTTGTTCCTGTCAATGGTCAGCTCTGGATGGGCGCTTTGGGATCGTTCCGGAGCTAAGAGTGAGATGAGCAGACCGTTTGGACGGCTGTAACAGCCGATCATGAGGCCGCCTTGTCCCCGCTGCCGCTTGTTGCATTGGGTTAGGGTTAATGGGGTTCCGCATAGAAACAAAGGCTCTGCAACGTTGAATGAAATAGACGTCAAGAAGGCAGCCAATCGAGAGTAAAGGACAAGAGAGAAAAAGTCGGAGAAAAACGTGCAGGTAGCTATATCACTGAACATATAATTATAAACTAAACGTCAGCACTTCAGGCAAAATTATGTTACCAATGGTAGCCCAACTTCTGCAATCGTAGCCCCAAGAAACAAGAGCCATCGGCTGTGGTCTGACTATCATGCAAAGTCTTCCTTTTTCTTCCACATCTGCCTAGATACCGGCGCAGTTCCGCTGCAGTCGATGACTCACATTTTGTAGAATGTCGAGAAGAGCTGCTCGATCTCCTGCAGGTCGTCGCCGGACAGGTAGAGGTGCTGCTCCTCCAGCAGCGGCACGTGCGGCTGCAGACGGTGCTCCTGAGCCATGCGGCGGCGCTTCTCCTCCTCCTCCTTCTGGCGCTTCTTCTCCTGACGAAGCTGGACGAAGGGGGCAGAAGAGAGGGGTAAGCGATGTGGCTGAGTAAACGATTCGTTTGTATTGTCATACAATGCAAAGTATTATGCGATTTAAAAACAAAGCTGCCTTTACTTCCATATTCCAAATAAGATGGCAGACGTCATGCATTTTCAAAACTCCATTGGGTTACAAGACGCTCCACTGAATAGCATACAGCATACACCAGACTTTCAGCTCTTCACCAGCCGACAGGCCCCCAGACAAATAAAGTCGGATTGTTGAACAGGGCCCCGGCATGATGTAAACAAACCTCGCTACGAGCAACTCCGAGAGCACAGCATCCCTGAGAAGCCTCGAGTTGCCATGGATGGTGGTGGTTGGAATGCATGTAATGGCAACACTTACCATGAAAAATAAGCTTTAATTGCATTACAAATCAAAATACTTACAACAAACTGCTGGTGATAATCGCATGAAAGCTAAACGTTTCAGTGCTTTGCAAAAGATGAATGACCACACCTTTCATTTTAATTCCAGTACCAAATGATTCGACTTATTTCGGGGTTATTTTGCCAAAGATCGAATTACAGTTTTACAAATTTCATGGAAAACAAAATATGAGCAGTGAACGCAGTTCAAAATTTGATGTGGAAAGAAAGATAACTTGCCATTTAATGAAAGCTTGCAACTTTCAGAGGTTTAAAAACTTTATCTATTGCATAATTTCTTCGTCACATTACATACATATAGGCGCAACCAAGGGGGACAACACTGTCGGAGATATGTGCGTCTTGTGCCAACCTAAACACTTGGCATAACGATGCTGGACGTCGTCCGCAATAGCGATGTCAGCTAAAAAGAATTAGCCTAGAAACTTACGCTGTAACGTATGAGCAAGGGGAACCAGCTTGTTCCATGATAGAAATAAAGAAAATGCTACACTGACGCTGTTTTGATGATCAAATCATTATCATCGCCGTCTAAATTGTTGATATTGGCGTTATTTTTTTTTTTTTATAAATTTAGTCTGAGCTTTTTGATAGGAAGGATTCACAAGGACAGAGCTACCGCAGTGGAGGGGATGCATTAATATCTTTATTACAGAACCAACATGTTAATGACAAACGACCAAAACGCAGCGTTATTCACCCATTCGTTATTCATCTAAATTCACTAAAAATGTCAATAATATAACAAAACACCGCAAGGTGTATGACTGAAACATAGCTCTGTCTCCCTTATTGAAAGTGACGAATGGGAGATAGGCAAGATGCCCACTTTATTATTAGAAGCTGTCTAATTTTTGGCATGGGCACCCCATGGATGAGGGCACCCCTCCGGTGCCCATGCCATAGCTCGAGGATTGCTGAACCCTGCAGTCTAAAAGCGACGTAACAAGGATGATAATGGGAAGCGCTTTGAAGGCGGAGACATAGCTTTCAGTTGATATTTGATAATTATCAAATATCAACTTTATGATTATAATCATCAATTATGCAGATAATAATCAAGAAGCGACTTTAAACTATTTAAAATGAAACAAACCGCTATTGAAAACAAGTCAAATCGCATATGTACAATTGCATTTCAAGGTGCCTTCCTGGTGACCCTGATCCATGCTGTTGACCCCGACCCCGACCGTGACCTCAACTGACCTTGAGCTGCTGCATCCTTTCGTCCTCAGTCATGACCCAGCTCTTCTCCATTCCGATCTCGGTGCACTTGGTAAACCTGAAACGGAAAGAGAACACGCTGAACGGCACGCCGTGGCCTTCGAGGGAAGCTAGAGCTGAAAAACACGCGAGAGATAATTAATCCACGACCGAGAAACAAGTATAAACCGTTACAATAATCCTGTCTTCATCGGCTGTGAACATATCCCCGGTATAGCGCATTATGAGATGTTATTTTCATTTTCGGGTGTTCAGGCAACGTTAAAGAATTGGAGGGGGAATGCAGCTTCACACATGGTGACATTCCAAGCAAAGCGAAGGCAGACAGTGAGGTATCCCACAATGGTCTCTTTCACTAATCCCTGATTACTGGTAATCTGATTGGTTCTTCCAAGGCATAAATGTGATATATTTGCGTCATACTATTTTTATGGCGTCTGTGTTCTTGCCAGGGGCGGATCCAGAAAATCTCCAAGGGAGGGGCCATTAGAAACCAGGAGGCCCCCCCCCATAATCCCACCTGTTGGAGGCCCCATCTTCCCACTTGTTGGGCCCCCCCCCCAAAAAAAACTGCGTCTATTGAGCTTATCTAGCTGTTCAGGCAACATCTCAACATCTGTGCAGGCTTGGAGGCCCTCTGTGCAGGTTAGGAGGCCCTGTAAAAGTGGTCATCTCTGTGAGTATAAGAGACCTCCTAGTTATGAAAAGCTTTACCAATCTTCTAACAAAGAAGTCTTCTCAGCTAGTCTTCTAAGAAATAACTAAGTGGGTAGGTTAAAAAAAAAAACTCATCGGATTTCGGCCACTTTATTTTCAGGAGGCCCCCTTTTCAGCTTTTTAACTTTTTAACTTTTTATTTTATTTTTGAAAAAAATCGGCCAAGGGGGGGGACATGGCCCCCATGGCCCCCCCCTTGTATCCGCGCCTGGTTCTTGCGGATGAGAATACCGCACAATTTGCGCGTTAAAAAGAATATATCGCACAAAACTGTCATGTGTTTGTTATCAAAAGCACTGGTATGAGAAGGATATTATTCCTGTTTGATACAACCGTTTCAGGAGCATCTAAACAAGTGCAAGTTTGAGAGACATTATCATAACAAAGAAGTTTAACGTATTTTATTTGCTAAATAAAGCACTGTCCTGTCCCGTTTGTTGAAAACTTTCCGTCACAAATTCATCCACATGCTGATTTATTTTTCCACATATCCTCTAGGGGAGAGTGGGGTAAGATGCCCAGGGTGGGAAAGACGCCCCTCCCCCTCTAGCGGCGAAACAAAGAATCGAACCTGGAAATTAATGTTCTTAGCGTAAAGCAGAAGCCTGCCTTGTTAACTGCACAAAAATTTGCGAAGCTCAGTTGGGCAACGGCTGGCTGGTGATTGCATGTTTTTTATTTACTGCTTTCAAAAAATATTTTGGTGTCAAAACAGTGTAAATATCAAAGAAGATAGATAATGTTTGCGTCCCTTGCTATAGTCGTGATACATTAACATGCGTGTACTGTGTCCCAAACAGTTTATTTCAGGGTGTAGTTTTATGGCTAACAAATTGTACTGATTTAATGTTACTTCGGTACCTTGGGGTAAGATGCCCCCTGTCCTGATGGGGAAAGACGCCCCCCTAAATCCGTAGGCTGTCCTTCAAGCAGCCCGTCAAATCATTTATTACATACTTGTGATGAGAGACAAAAGCCGATCTGGGACTATTGAGAGTCCAGTACGGTCGGGTGCTCCCCATGCCGGTCTCTCGGCCCTCACAGCGACTTTTTGGGCGGCATTTGACTCTGAGAGCCCTCACGACGGCCTCTGTGGGCCCCATTATTGGCTCCAGGGCCCCTCACGGCATCCTTTGAGGGCTCCCACGTTGGCTCCACGGGCCGCGCTGGCATCTGAGGTCCCCACGATGGGCTCGAGGGCCCTCAAGCATCATGAAGACCTATAAGGGCTCCACAGTGGTCTCCGAACGCCACCACGGAGGCTTGTTTGGCCGCGCTGGACTATGATGGCCCTAACGATGACCCCTGAAGCCCCTTACGACTACTTTTGAGGGCCCTTACGATGACGTTTGGTGTCTACTGCAGGCTCGAAGGGACTACTGATTCGTTCAGGCGATTTACGTGCCCATTTATGCCACTTATAGTGCAGGGGGGCATCTTCCCCAACGCCAGGGGGCGTCTTTCCCACCCTGTGGGGTAAGATGCCCCCTTTCACTTCTTCAGGAAAATGCTTAATAGCAAAAAAAGTTATCATATTTCAGGCACGAAATTGTGATATTTTTGGAGAAAAATGATGTCGGCTTCCGTTGAAACTCCAAGTTTTTGCTTTCTGATCGTCATTTTCGAATAATATATGACATAGTGAAACCCTGGGCATCTTTCCCCACTCTCCCCTACAACATGCCATTGCAACATGCACCGTCATCACTCCCGACAAAACACCGCCAGCCAACGAGCCGTCCCTCCGTCCCCGCTCCTCCGACATCGCTCCATGGACTATCGATCGCAGTCTGCGGCAGCTCGCTCCGTTCTGTTTGGACTCTGAAGCTCTCTATCAACGGAGCTGTTGCCGCCCTATCATTCCCTCCCTCTCTGCTCAGTCGCCCCTATTCCCCCACCCACCCGGCCCCACGCCTCCGCCCGCCCGCCCCCATCAGCCCAGAGGCATAGCAACAGGCCTAACCACTCGATGTTTTAGGTCACATTCGCGTGCCCCGCGGCGCTTAGCGTTTGGAACCTACGCCGTTGGGTTCGCCAATGTTTGGCATGATGCGTGATAATGAGAAATAAAGCACCTATCTATTGACTAGTGTCCACTGGAAATTGGGTATTTTGGGTCCGATTCAGGAGAGGGTCGAACGTTCCCTGGTGATGACAAAACCCTCCCCCACCTATGATTAGTAATGCGGTAATGCGATACGCTGTCAATACACACATTAGACATGGTGCTCGACAAGGGAATAAAACCGGTAAGTATTATGCCTAAACATATGAAGACTTTTCACTCGCATATTTTATCAACAAAAAATACAGTGAGAGAATTCTTGGAGAGAATAAGGGCAAAGAGATAAAAAGATTGCGGGACTAACTGCTGATGATAAGTCATTTTTTCGAGTCTGATCTGCATGAAACGAGCGCATGCATCTTAACATATCTTAACATAAGATGAAGCTTAGGATCTAGGTTAATGCCAGCCATAGCTCTGAATTCTTTGTAATATTAATAAATAATTTAGATATTTTCAGCCAGGAAGTACGATACAGTGCAGCGAATTATCACGCTTAACGCGTATCGAAGTGCAGCAGAGGAAATTTCATAATTATTTAAAGCCGCCTCAATGCAGCGTTATTCCATTGCAATGCTGCGCAATTTCACTGAAGCTCTCGACAGCGCGAATAAAATTAACTGTGCCGGAGGCGACCTTTTTGGCAAAGCCATCGGAAGCCCGCGTATGCGTTCTTCCGTCTGCACCGTGTGATATACCCGCTGTGATCGAAAAGTCTGAATGAACACTTTTCTAACAGTGCTCAACTGCATTCATTTCCAAGAATCGTTCAATGCTGCTGCGCCTCACGTCTTAAAGAACTCCCAGGAATCATACGTTAACCGCCTCTAAATATAGCACACACCATTGTCTAATTGTAAGGCACCGGTGACCCGTCGTCGTTCTTTATTCTTGCAGCAACTGACCTTGCCTCACTAACCGCCCCACAGGGCCCACAGGCGTCCCTTCCCAGCCATATAGAGCTCTCCCTTTCACCTCCTTGGTCCCTCCGTCCTGCACCCCCCCCCCCCACTCAGCGCGGCGCAGCCTCTGAACACGTGGGACGCGGACGGCGCAGGCGCCCGAACCCAGAAACCTCGGACGTCACTTGTTTTCAGCAGTCGCTGGGTTCGCGGTTGTGGCACATTCAGACTGCAGGGCAAACCGACCAGCCTCGCACTGCCACCGACTAAGAACCGCAATACTTTAGCCTTTTACTTGACGCAGAGCCCACGAAACATCCACTGTTTAAAAACCTGACATTATTTTCACCAAAAACTTTTTATACTTTATTTTCACGTTCTCTTTTGGAGCACGATATATTGAAGCGCTAGCCGTTGCTCCCTTGGTCAGCCACCCCTGCAGGTATATCGGGCAGTGGTCTCGTCTGTCGAGGTCGTTGAGTTGGCCAGCTGATGGTCGACTGAACTCAGCGACCGGGCTGCGCTTCAACACGACGACTGTTGCGCCCCAATGTGTGTGAAAGAGACTGCTTCCAGAGGGCGGGGGAGATAGGTGAAGACTGGGGAAGGTATGGAAAAGGAGACAAAACACAAGACTGCGCGCTGAGGAGGGGCGGGGGGGGGGGTCTAACGACACTGTTGCGGGGCTAGAAATAGACAGCGGGCCGGGGGGGCCGGCGGGGTGGGCTAGGGGGGCCGGTGGGGTGGGCCGAGCCCGGCAAGTGGCGCCGTGGAGGCGAGGCGGCGTCCGTGGCAGTCAGACAACTTCGGCCGGCTCGTCTTGACAGACGGGGGGGGGGGAGGCGGGGGTGATAGGGGGCTGTGACGCCAACACAGCCAGTCGCGGCACATACAGAACTGAGCCCAGTGACACCAAGGCTGATTTGCAGCTCGCCGAAAGGGATTCACGGTTCTCCGAAAGTGAAAGTCGATTGAGAATGAGAGTAGCACAGAGCATGCGACTGCCATGGCATTCAACACAGTAGATATGCCAGGAACGGATGGGTCGTACGTTGACTGAAAATGGGAGAACGTGTCTTTATCACCACGAATCACCTTCTAACATATAACAAAACTATTCGGTATGTAAGCCACCAAACTTTTTAAACACATAACATATACGACACGTCTTGTCACTTCTTTTAAAGCAAGAAAGGAACTGAAGTCGAAGATTCATGACAGCCTCTGGAAACTAGGCAAGGTTAACATTTTGTAGATCCAGCCAAGTTAGCGGCAGTTGGAGAAGTTTCTCCGGTTCTTGACAGATGTGCACTCGGCTCTACTTTCATTAAATTCGTGTCCGGGATTGAAATGAACTTCCAGATGTGTTGG